TGTGTGTGTGTGTCTGTGTGTGTGTGTGTCTGTGTGTGTGTGTGTCTGTGTCTGTGCGTGTGTCTGTGTCTGTGCGTGTGTCTGTGTGTGTGCGTGTGTGTGTGTGCGTGCGTCTGTGTGTGTGTCTGTGTGATGCAGTTCTTTAAAAAAAAAAATTGTAGGTTCACTAGCTCAGGACTTAAAGGAACTGTTCTAACCTGTCAGTTGTGGCTGTTTAAAACTCTTCCTCCTTTCTTGATGTCCTATTGTATTGGCAGTGGTTTTAGAACTTTCCTTTGGATTCAGCCTAAATGTTCTAAATTAACTTAGACAACTAAGTTTTCTTTATTGACGTTGTCCACTAGGGTTTAGAATGTCTTCTTAAGCCTAATAAGTGCTTTTCTTTCTAGAGGCTCTCCAGGAGGTAAATACTACTTTCCTTATTAGCTCCCTCTATGGAGCAAATTAAGACTCTGAAACCTCAGAATTTAACAATTCCATGCTTTTTAATTCACCACCAAATCTGTTCTGACTTTCTGGTGATAAAATATCAGCTGTAGTTGCTGGAAATTAGTTATAGTACCAATTACATTCATTTTTTATGTAACCTCCCCCACTTTTTTTTAAGGCTTGAGGAAGTGGGGGGTGGGGAGAAAGGGAAGAAGTATATTAAGAAGTGCTTATTCCTTGATTTGACTTCCTATTATGTTCGATTTTTATTCAAGCACTAGTGGACTGTTTTTCTTCTCAGGAATCCTTCCATCAGTGGACCTGCTGTTTAACCTGGACAGTGTTACTACTCTCGAACACTTACTCAAGTCAGTCTTGCTATACACTTTCAACGACTCAGTTTCTTTTCCCTCTGCTGTTAAATGTGTGTGCAACCTGGTGATAATGGAACCAAAGGCTTCTAGCAAGACTCTTCCTAGAGCTCCATACTCATTTACCTTTAACTCAAAGTTTGAATTTAGAAAGAAACACAAATGGATTGAGATTGATGTGACCACTCTCCTTCAGCCTCTAGTGGCCTCCAACAAACGAAGTATTCACATGTCTGTAAATTTTACATGTGAGAAAGACCAGCTGCAGCATCCTTCGGCACAGGATAGATGGTTTAACATGTCTCCCCTGGTACCCCCATCGCTGCTCTTGTACCTGAATGACACGAGTATTCAGGCTTATCATGGGTGGTATTCTCTCCACTATACAAGGAGGGCTTCACAGAGTCCAGACCAGAAGACAAGTCTGGCTGCACATCCCATGGGAGAAGAAACCGCCGAGTGTGGAAGAGCTTCGCGTCACCGGAGAGGTCAGGAAACTGTCAGTTCTAAATTGAAGGAGTCCCTGGTTCCAGCTTCCTTCAATCTGAGTGAATACTTTAAACAGTTTCTGTTTCCCCAAAACGAGTGTGAACTCCATGACTTTAGACTTAGCTTTAGTCAGCTGAAGTGGGACAACTGGATTTTGGCCCCACACAGATACAACCCTCGGTACTGTAAGGGGGACTGTCCAAGGGCAGTTGGGCATCGGTACGGCTCCCCAGTTCACACTATGGTGCAGAACATCATCTACGAGAAGCTGGATTCCTCTGTGCCAAGGCCATCGTGTGTACCTGCCAAATATAGCCCCTTGAGTGTTTTGGCCGTTGAGCCTGATGGCTCAATTGCTTATAAAGAATACGAAGACATGATAGCTACCAAGTGCACCTGTCGTTAACATATGGTCCTCCAAACTAAAACCCTGAGCCTCTTTGAACTAAGTAAAGGCTCCCTGCCTATCTGTGCCTCCAGAAGAAAGCTTCATGTGTCAAATCTCAATATAATGCAATGTAATGTTGTGTAAGGTGGAGCCTGTGTAGAGTAGCATACTCTGTGGTGGGTATCATGGTAAAGGATAGCTTTTGTTGTTTTCACTGAGACTTTTTTATTCCCAGATTTAAATGAAATGTGATTATTTAGGAGAGCTTTAGAAGTTTTTTTTTTTTTTTTTTCCCCAACTGGGTAAACTTTTCTTTTCATAGGAGTCTTGTTCTTGATGTAAGATAACAAAGTTAATTAGCATAAATCTTGGATGCAATTTCAGCTGTAAGTAGTCAATTCAGAGTGCTGTACTCTTATTTAATGGAAGAATAAATTCCTGTCAGTGGCAGAACTTTTCTGTGTGAATGTGTTTTTTATTAATGACATTTTTTTAACTGGCCTTTTTTAAAGGATCATCTAGGAGAGGGAAAGTGTATCTAAAAACTGGCCTTTGCTCAACTTTTGATCTCTTTTTTTAGAGTAAAAGGAAAGCTTTTAAATGCTGATTAAGTGAGATTCATTAGGCCCAAGAATATGCAAAATAATCCATTTCTGTTGTCTTCGTGTGATTGATACTCAGTATACTAACTCTGCACATTAGCTGGTTTGTATAAATCAATTGATTAACATTTACAATATAAGATTTGTCCCATCTATTTAAAGAAGAGTGCCTTGCAGATTTTTCCAAGAAAATGCAGCGGTCGAGATTTTTGAAGTATACTTTCTCGTTTATAAATTTAAAACCCCTGGCCCTATGGAAGGAAGCCAAGAAGTCTTTCTTTTTTTGCCAATTTCTCTCAGCCTCCCCGCCCCCCCCAGATTTTTTTCACCTTTACCCCTCTCAGACAGTATAAATGGAAGTGACAATTGTTGCTTGGTAGAGTGAGGGAAGGAGTCCAAGGGCACATCTTATTGTGACCCTCGCCCTTCTTATTCCAGCCCCTGGCTATGCCTTCACACCAATCCCAACCTTCCAGGTGGCTTTAGGACAGTTCCCACTTAACTAAGCTGGTAGTGACTAGGGTATCCTACTGAGCAGGCCTTGTTTTGGTATGAGGGCTTTTGTATGAATTTTCAGTATACCTCCTAGCCTGAGAGAGCACTGGGAGAACAGAGTTAGCTAGGGCTAATGCAGCAATTTGGTATTTCCGTTTCTTAAACCCTAATCGCAAATCAAAAGTAACTCATAGATGTAAGAAGAACTTTTTGTTCTTGTAAATGGTCTTTTCCAATAACTTTGCCATCTTGCTGTGTAACTTGAAGGGATCATAACTCTTTTGTAAGTGAGGCTGAAATTCTAAGAGATTAATGGTATTCCAAAGGTTTTGTATAACTTTCTGTCATTCTTAAGAGTGAAAAATATCTGCATTGGAAAGAACATGAGTAATGGTGGCAATGTATAATTGAACATATTTGAAAGTGAACTTCCCTTAAATATGGCTGTTTTCAAATGGACCACATGAAATGTATATTGACTTAAAGGATTCCTCATAGTTTCCCCAGTACCCTAAACTGATTTGTATTTTTTGGCTGGAACACAGGAATTTGTTTTGGTTTTCGTTTGTGTTTATTTTTTGCATGGCCTAGTTCTGTGGCTGAGGATGGAATGTGGTCTGAAATGTGAAGGTTTCAAAAAGAAGAAAACAGAGGGCGAGTTCTGAAGGAAGTTAAGTATTAGAGTCAGTGCCAGAATTTAGGGGCAGGAAAAGTCGGTCATCCTCATAGGCAAGTTCTAAAGTTGACTTACTTCAAACATGTTCTTTGTATAGTAGTGTTGTTATATTTTTTAAATTGAAGTGAAATTCACATAACATAAAATCAACCATTTTAAAGTGCACAATTCATTGGCTTTCAGTACATTCACAATTTTGTGCAACCACCACCTCTATCTAGTTCCAAAACAATTTCATCACCCCAAAAGGAAACCTCACACCATTAAGCAGTCATCCCCCATTTCTCTCTCCACCAGCCCCTGACAATCACCATTCTTCTTTATGGATTTGCCAGTTCTGGATATGTCATGTAAATTGAATCATATATGACCTTTAGTGTCTTGCTGCTTTAGCATACTGTTTTTGAGGTTCATTCACACCGTAGCATGTATCAGTACTTCATTCCTTTTTATGGCTGAATAATGTTCCATTGTATATATTTACCACATTTTGTTATCCATTTATCTGTTAATGGACATTTAGGTTGTTTCCACCTTTTGGCTATTGTGAGTAGTGCTGCTATGAGCATGCGTGTACATGTGTTTGAGTACCAGTTTTCAGTTCTGTTGGGTGTATACGTAGGTGTGGAATGGCTAGGTCATATAGTAATCTATGTTTAACTTTGTGAGGAACCACCAACCTGTTTTCCACAGTGACAGCACCATTATACACTCCGTCCAGCAGCAATATAAGAGAGTTCTAATTTATCCACATGCTTGCTGACACTTGTTGTTTTCTGTATAGCTATCTTGTTATTGTCAGTTGATGTCAACATGACTGTGACTCATGGTGACCCTATGTACAACATAAACATTTCCTGGTGCTATACCATCTTCATGATCATTGTCATGTTTGAGTCCATTGTTGCCGCCATTGTGTAATACCTTCCAGCCTAGGGGATTAATCTTCCAGCACTATGTTGGAAAATACTCTTTAGTGATCCATAGGGTTGTGTGTTGTTTTTAATTTTATTGTGTTTTAGGTGAATGTTTACAGAGCAAATTAGTTTTTCATTTGCAAATTTATGCACAAATTGTTTTGTGACATTGGTTGCACTCCCTGCAATGTGTCAGCACTCTCCCCTTTTCCACCCTAGGTTCCCCGTGTCCATTTGTCCAGTTTTCCTTTCCCTTCCTGCTTTCTTGTCTTTGCTTTTGGGCAGGTGTTGCCCATTTGGTCTCATATACTTGATGAACTAGAAGCACATTCCTCACATGTGTTATGTTTGTTTTATAGACCTGTCTAGTCTTTGGCTGAAAGGTAGACTTCGGGAGTGGCTTCATTTCTGTTAGAAGGGTGTCGGGGGCCATAGTCTCAGGGGTTCCACCAGTCGCCATCAGACCAGTAAGTTTGCACTTTTTTTGTGAGTTTGAATTTTGTTCTACATTTTTCTCCCATTCTGTCCAGGACCCTGTATTGTGTTCCCTGTCAGAGTGGTCAGCGGTGATAGCCAGGCACCATCTAGTTCTTCTGGGCTCAGGCTGGTTGAGGCTGTGGTTCATGTGGTCCATTAGTCCTTTGGACTAATACTTTCCTTGTGACCCAGAGGGTTTTTATTGGCTAATTTTCAGAAGTAGATCATCAGGCCTTTAGTCCTACTTTTAGTCTGGAAGCTCCACTGAAACCTGTCTACTGTGAGTGATTTGAAATACTGGTGGCATAGCTTTCAGTACTGTAACAACACAAAAGCCACCACAGCACAACAAACTGACAGGTGGGTGGTGAATATCCATCTTACAGTATGAAGTGGTATCTCATTGTGGTTTTGATTAGCATTTCCCTAATTGCTAATGATGTTGTGCATCTTTTCATGTGCTTGTTGGCCATTTGTGTATCTTCTTTGAAGGAATTTCTATTCAAGTCCTTTGCCCATCTTTGAATAGTATTTTGATGATAAAATTGAGTAATGATAGCTTGAAGAACTATGTAGAAGTATTTGGCTTTTTCTTCCCCCCTTATTTTTTTAGGACTTTATTTGTCAATCTAGTTGTTTTATTAATAATACAGTGTTGATATTCGGGGCTGATATATCTGCTAAATTTAAGCATCAAAGATTCTCTTATATACAGTCGAAGTGGGTATACTAGTCTCCCCCCACCCAAAAAAAACCCAAAAAAAAAAAAAAACCGTTTTTTTTTCTGTTACTGTTAGAAAAGCTACCACTTTAGAAAATAAATGAGAAAGGGCAAGAGTGATTTAAATCTGGAAATTTAAGGATGAAGCTACATCTGCGTTAAATAGATGCATTCAGCATTGGTATGTAGTCCAGATGAGATATGAGGTTGCCTAATGTGATGAGTGCCTTAGAATGCCAAGGAACAATGGGGCATGTCAGGAGCTGGGTTTACCTTCAGCCCTGAATTTCCTGCCTTTTATCCTTTTAAATCAACTCCTGTGTTACGTTGGCTACTTTGTGTTTTACTAATCTGCTTCAAGGGCAGCAGTCACTGGACTTGGTTTAGAGCTCAGTTTAGACAAACAGTCTGTGGGGAAAAATAGTTACTGTTTTATGAGGTAAAGGAGAAAGTATTAATGGTTCTATAAAGTGATAAAATAAAAATACTCAGAAGAACTTGGCTTATATCAATTTTAGTTTGTAACTTTTGAGGGATTAAAATTTATGAAATGGTAAATTAAGGGAAATAAAAATATTTTATTCTTTTAGAGGCTGTCAGTTCTAAAAGCATTTCTTAAATATATAGATTGGCTGGATACAATAGAAAAATATGCTGCTTTACCCATGAATTGTTCTCTAGATAGAAGGAAAAAATAAACACAACTAGGAAATTCAAACACTTCATTCTTTGCTAGAATTGATAAGTAGGGTGTCTTCATGTTGTTATTTTTTTCCTGATGTAGCTGTTATTCCCAAACCACAGATTTACTAGTCAATTTTTGGAAAGGACCTTGATTTTTTTTTATAAGACCAGGACTATTTCAGCATTCATTTGAAGAACAAGATTTTATAGGTGGCCCAACAGAGTATTTCTCATTGCTACCTTACAATATACATGTAGGCCCTGACTTACGACTGGGTTCTATTCCAACAACTCCATCATTAGTCGGTTCTGAGATAGTAAGTCGAATACCTCATTTTTTTTGTTTTCATTATTATTGCCTGTTAGTATCTTTATAAATCCGATCTTTATTTATCTTTGGGGGTTGGAAACATTACATATAAACTTACAGATATATTTTAGTATTATATGTAGTAAGTGCTCTTCGTCATATCTCGAATACGTTACAAGTCGGGGACTACCTGTAATGCAATTTGTATCAAATAATTAGTAATTAAATATATGTGGATAAGGATCAACTAAAGATTTATTTACATATTGTTTAACAATAAGTGCTTTATGAACAGTTTAGAGAGTCATTTATCGGCCTGTCTCGGGTACTGGTGCTTTTCTACATTGGAATGATATGACAGGAGGT